TTTTAAAGGGAAACAGTGACACTTACTCCTTTGTCGATTACGTAAAAATTATCTCCTTCCTCTCCTTGCTCGATAATAGTCTCACCCGCTTGTTTCTCAACTGGGAACATAGCATCAAACATCGTTTTTGCTTCATCCTCCTGTTTTGCTCAAGATTGGGAACAAAACGTTGCATAAAATTGACCATACCTACCTCAAGATGGGCGAACAACAAATTTTTGCTCATCGCTGCTTCAAGTGATTTTCTCGTTGCGTCATCCTTGGGTATCACAACCTAGAAGAGGCTTCTGGTTCAAAAAAATTCTAAAATGGAGATTTATAACATAAGTACCAAGAGACTCGATTTTACAGAGAAAGGCTAGCGTTATGATGAGTGAACAAGAGGATACTGCGACGGTACTTTGTAATATTGAGATGTATACGGTATATATATGGTCGAATTTACCTTCTTGTACTCAGTGTCATCTTCTTTGATCGGTTCAGCGGAGATACCCGTACGACGTCCACCTGTCCTCTTAGGCGGTTCAATCATTATATCGTCGTCATCTTGAGGGTCCTGATTTCGGCCTGCTTCCTAAATTGCAAACAAAATCACTATCGCCTGAGTAACACATTTTGAATTATGTATGTATCTAAATCAAGTGAAAGTTAGTGAGATAATGGTTGAATACCCCAGAAATTTATGAGACAAATTACGTAATCCAAGAATGTTCAAAGATAATGCTGATTTCTATCGTACGAGCCGCCTTTCTTAAAACATTGTTAGTAATGCTGGTACCTCCTACTCTGAACCACAACCCATTTCCAGACAACTCAAATCACGGATGAGTGAAGTGCACGCGTTTGAACTACAGAGTAAGGTTTTACAAAATCGTAATTAGAGACTGCATATCATGCTTCAAAAACTAAAATGCAATTTGAACGAAGAAAGTAATTGTATTACGTACTCGCTAACACCTATAGCCAAGAAATTAGTTGTGATCAAATAGTACACCTTACGTGTAAAAAAGTGAAAAAACCGGAATTGTAAGAAAACCGAAAAGAGATCAAGCAGTTTTAATAACACCTGCTACAGTACTGCTCCAAAAAACCACATCTAAGAATGTAAAGCGCTAGTACTTGCGCTTGCATAAAAGCCATATGTGGTTGAACGCTGTGATCGGAGCTTGAACATCATTGCTTTAAAAACTGGACATGTTGCCATTTAAATACAGACAAGATCTGAGGCTATTCACTCACTATCAGCTCAACAACAGGTCGTTGGTGATCAAAAAAGCGCATCTCAAGTGCAAGGAAATGAAAGTTGAAGTATTCAAGGTGATGGCATTTACTGTTTGGAAAAATGATTTTTTGTACTCAACATCATCTACGCTAAGTTATACTATTCTGCAACTGCAGAAGATCAAAGAGATCTAAAATTGAGAGCATTCATAATTTGGGCCAACAGTAACTAATTAAGTTTTTGGTACAAGGAGTGCAACACATCTTTATTTGGTTCAATTCGATATTGATTAGTCTCCATGAAAACTTGTCATTCAACGAAGAATCTGACATATTGCATTTTCGCCTCCTACTATCTCTTTGAAGCGATCGATGAAGTCAGAAAAACAACGCTGTTGTTTCGCGACGTTTCTTTCTCCAATTGTTGCTACTTAGACCCGGACCTGCGCATGAACGTTGCTTATTATGCTATTATGGGGAAAACAATGGTTTAGTGGAGATGCTGATGATGACATGAGAACGATTATGGGCCTTACTTTCAGCTCAGTTTGGTGATACATCGAAATGCTTGAATGCTCCAGATTGGACCGCTACGCAATTTTTACGATATGGAGGTGAGCGCTCACTGATAATTTACAGCGCTCC